ACATTAAATATTCCATTAGAATTCTTCATCTCTGCAACCTTTTGATAATATATAAACGCCATATATTCATTTTTTTCGACACCAATTCCATTTTCATAACAATTTCCAAGTTCATTAATTCCATTAACACTCCCTAATTCTGCAGATTTTTGATAATAAATGAATGCCTTATGTTCATCCTTTTCAGCTCCAATTCCATTTTGACAACAATATCCAACCATATAAGTTCCATTAACATCTCCCATATCAGCGGATTTTTGATAAAAAATGAATGCCTTATGTTCATCTTTTTGGACTCCAATACCATTTTGATAAAAATTTCCGAGTTTATACATTCTACCTACATTCTCCATATCAACAGATTTTTGATAATTAACAAATGCTTTACTTCCATCCCACTCAATCCTTATATCCTTGTTATAACAACTGCTAAGGCCAAATTCATCACCAGTATATTCTATATCAATTGGCTTTTGAATAAATTCATTATGTAGATTTATAATTAATAAAGTTTTCTCATACTGATTATCTTCTAATTGATAAAATTATAATGCAATTGTTAAAAATAAATCTAAAATAAGTGTTACAATACCTCAAAGTAATAAGTAATGATTACCTAGATGATTATACTGCTGATCAGAATCCGCAATATTTAGAGGAGTAAATTGTCTGCTAGTATTATTTTCTTCGGTATGCGTCTTTAAAACAGAGGGTGTCGATACCCTGGATTCGAAAAAAGTTTTCATTACTTCATCATAGTTTTCTATTTGTGCAATGAATTCCGTTGATTTATCATAACAAGCGGTTATAGTTTCATATATTTCTTTAGAACTTGGTCTTTTGTCTGGCTGAGGATCCCAGCATTTAGTTATCAATTCAGCAATTACCTTGGGTATATGTGTTGGGATGCTTGGACGTAGACCATGATAATAAATATTCCGTGCAAGATGAACGTCATGAGCTATACCATAATACGCTAGTTGGCCAGACACTATTTCATATGCTACGATAGCAAAAGAATATATGTCGGATGCTTTGCTATATTCTTTATTGTACAATACTTCAGGTGCTATATATGGCATTACACCACATACTTCATCATTTGATCGAATATTAGCAAATGTAGAAAGACCCAGGTCTGCAATGTATGCACTGTGAAAAGACTCTAGCAATATATTTCCGCTATGTAAATCTCGATGAATAAGTTCATGAGAATGAATTGTTTGAATATCAGAAGCAATGCTACTCAACAGACTTAATTTCTTTTTCCATTCCATCTGTGATACGTAATAAAGATTTTTACATAAAGAACCCATTGTTGCATGTTCCATAACAAGAATATAATCCTTAGAATAATCATCTTTTGACAAACCCATGCATTTTAAAAAAGTTTTATCTTTAAGACCAATATTGCAATATGCTTTC